GTACAAATCTATAATACGACGAAAATTCACAAACTACTTTCAAATACAGCCCAAAAAATATTTAAAAAAAAGGTATAACCATTGAGCTTTCATTTAAGTATTATGGCCGTTGATTATGAATAATAGAAGGTATAAACCAACATTTACCTTACATTTCATTTACCTTAAACAAACGTTTAAAAAATACTACAAGCATATCAATTATACCCACCAAATGAAGTGTTATCCATTACTATCACTCAAATTACTATCACTCAAATTACTGACATTACTATCACTCAAATTACTGACATTACTATCACTCAAATAGTAGTTAATATTGACTTTAACAAAGCAACAAATTATTCCAAAAACCAAACCAGAAGGAAATAATGAAAGTCTTGATAAAAGTCTTTAAAAAGTGTTGATAAATACATTATAAATGTTGCACATTCTAAAATCCAATGAAATGTTTGTCAATCTTTTATCAATACTTTCATTATTAAGTCGCTCTCTATAAGCAATCTCTCTAACTCAACTACTTCTAACATTCACTTTTATTTAAACCATTCTTCCTAACACTCATTTACTCTTGGTCCGTTGAAGCGTGTTATGATGCTCTTTAGTGAGCTGAACTCGTTTTTGCAGGCCTTGGTATGTGACCTTTATATGGCAATTAGCCGGAGTTTTCTGTTACCTATCCGAGAAAATAAAATAAAAGACCTTATCTTTAAACATTCTGAAACGGCAACCATTCAGCAGTATACTTTACTACTCGTCCTAATATAAGATTTTTAAATCTTGACGATGATCAATACAAACTAATATTGTCAAGAAAGATAATCATAAAAGAAGAAAAAAACTTAGGAGTTTGTTCTTGGAGTTTTTTCCATCTACCTTTAAGACATTAACATATTATTATTTTTGATTACTTTAAGCAACGTAGAAGGTGGAATGAAACCAATTGGTATTAGGGAATTTTAAAAAATGATAAAATGACTCATTTTTCAAACTCATTGAGTTTTAAAGTCTGACATTCAAGAAGCTGCCGGGCGATTACAAGAACACACTGGTTTAGAGGGGGATGCAAAGGCTGCAATTCACGCTATGAAACAAATTTTTTTAAATGGTAATAGTGACGCCGTGATTCTTTAAGCCGCAAAAAAGTTTTCAACCCACTAAACAGAAAAACTACTCTTCTAAATCCAATACGTACGCCCTCCAATTTCAAACATTTTAATTGACATATATTGTATTCTTTTCCGCCTAATGAAATTTGTCAATAATGATATAAGGTCTTACCAATGTGGTGTCTAGTTGGTGGAAGGCCCCCCAAAACCAGCAATTAGGGCCCCAAAACCTAAAAAATTTTCCCATAGGTATGACCAAAAAAAAAAGAAAAAAGGTTTCTCAATTTGCAAAAAACCCCTAAAATTTCCAAATGGGCCCCCTAAAATTACTGGGTTCCTCTCCCCCCCCTCCCCCACTACACAAGACAATAATCTTGAAATATTTTTGCACTTGGAATAAACCAATTAATAAATATTTAAAAAGGAATACTTTTAAATATTTATTAATAGTTTCTAAATGATGTAAAGAGATAGAGCAATTATCAATATTAGCTGAAAGACAGTTACATGCCGCGTAATAAGCATTTATACATATTTACACTCACTGCCAACACCAAAAAAGTCAATTACTTTTTGCTGACTCTTTAGACGACATAAATGAGTAAAAACCTTTAACATCTATACTGGGTAAAAAGACTAAAAACATAATACCTATAGAGAAGTAATTGTTTACTCAATTTGTCAAGGTGGATTAGGTATAACAAACCTATATGAAGAGAATATATATTTATTTATATGCTCTAAATAAAACGCATCAAATTCATTAAATGTCTCTTTAACTGCATATAGTACAATTTAAACTAATGTCATACCTTTTAATAAAGCTTATATAAAAGAATTACAAAAAGAAAAAAACATTTAAAAACTAAAATTAAAAATTTTTGAATCAAATTTCAAAACCACACTGAGATCAGCTAAACAAGCAAGAGAAAAAGTTTCATTTCATCTGATAAGTTGTAAGACCAAAAAAAATAAAATAAAAAAGATAAATCAATAGAAAAAACAATAAAGCAGAATTCGTGCATGAACAATATATATACAGAGGCGAAACCACAATTTTTATATTAGGGGGGCCCATATTTTTTAGTTACCCATTTTAGGGGCCTAGAGATAGGGAGAGGCCCAAACATAGCAGGGGAAAAGTCCTAAAGAATATATGTTTTTCCTTAATAATTATAGTTTAGTAATTTTTTTTTGGGGGGTCTAGACCCCCCCGGTGGTTACGGCTTTGATATATATCATAATTTCATAAACAATTTTTGTTCATGAAATTATAGCTTCCGTGTTCGAAACATCGAACATGGAACCTTTACCGTCACATTTTTTCTACATAGAATGTTTAATGTAAGGCAAACATCTAATTGAAGAAAAAGCTAAAAAAATCAGGAAAAAGGTATTAACTCTAATATTAGAGTTATGCTTCCATTTTTAATAATAAAACCAGATCTTTTTTGTTTACGTAGTTCAAGGTCGTTGCCATCAAAAATGGTCACCCACGCCACAACCGAGTTCGGACTGATGTGCAAAAATCTTCAACTTATATAATGTTGTTATATAAGTTGTAAAAACATAAAATAGATGTAAGATCTATTTATTAACATTTGTAATTTAATTATAATAAACAAAACCTTAATTTCAATTTTTTTTAAAAAAAGACGATATTTTGCCAGACAATATTTGAATACTCAAATATTTTTTTTTAATTGTAAGCATAAAGGTTAACATTGTATAAAAATGATATAAAGCAGAAAAATATACACATAAAAAAAAGGAACATAACGCAGGATTTTTATTAAAAATGAACGTGGTAGAATAGAATTTCCTAATAATGCAAAGTGGAGTTACGTAACGTCAAATTGCAATATTGAAAAAAAAAAGCACTTTTTATTAAACTTTATTATTATTATTTATTATTATTATTTATTAGATGAAATTTTTGACTACCAATTTTGGCAAAAAAAAATTTAATTATTTGACTTACGTCGACAAACGAAGGCATGATATTTATTTAGTTGTAGGAGCCTCTTTTCGATAGACTGTAATTTCATAGATTCAGCGAAAAGACTATCGCTGTTGTGTATCTAAAGTAAGACTGTTTTTATTTTCGTTGTAAGCGATAAAAATAGTGATACATAAAGAATGAAATCAAAAAGTGCATGCTCAACAGAATTAAAAATCAAAGTTGCACGTGTGTTTTAGAATGCCATGCTAAGCGCTAGAGCGTTCTCTAAAGCAATATTAAAGTTCGATAAACACTTGAAATGTTCAAGATTAAAAGATTAACATTTAATACAATAGTTATCTTATTATATTACCCTATCTATAGTTTATTTAATATAATCAAAGTTATTAAGTATTAGTAGTTTTTTAACAATGGCAGTTACACATTTTGCACCCCCTCCTATGGTAGCGCCGTAGGCGACCGCCAGATTTGCCTTAATAACGGCACCGGCCCTGTATTCTAATCAAGATTGTATTTAAAATATTTTTAATACTTTTAATTTCAATGCAAGTTCTTCAAAAAACAGAAATTTAACGCGTTTAATTTTAGCCCTTTTCGGCGACAAGACCGAAAGCAGGCAAAACACCATCTTAATTTGTAATTGTTCTTTTTTTTTTTGTGGATATAATTTGAATAGTTTTTACAGGAAAATGAATTTGTAAAAAGTTTGTAATAGAGACCAAATGTAATGAAAAAAGGAACTTTTTAAATTTAGGCACAGGTTTTTCAAACTCTTGTTTTCATTCTTCTTATTTCAAAAAACCGATGTTCAGGTTCCCGCTTAATGTCACTATTTTTATTGTACTATTTACTTTCGATTTGAAATGCGCTTATGTCAACATGAGCTCCTGCATAAATGTTTTTTAGGTATATTATGTATTAATTGCATATGAATACCATCTTTTCAATTTTTATGTTAAAACTAGATTAATAATTTTTTTTTTTAAATATTATATATTTTTTTTATCAACAAAATGTAGAAAATATTAACAGTAAACAATTCTTTAAAGAATTTAAAAGCTGTCCAATAAAGACTTTATTAAAATTTCTTGTTAACAAAGTATTTTTGAAAGAAATAGTAACACAAGCAATATATATATATGTATATATATATATATATATATATATATATATATATATATATATATATATATATGTATATATATATATATATACATATATATATATATATATAAATATATATATATATATATATATATATATATATATATATATATATATATATATATATATATATATATAGATACATATATATATATATATATATATATATATATATATATATATATATATATATATATAAATATATATATATATAGATAGATATATATATATATACATATATATATATATATATATATATATATATATATATATATATATATATATATATATATATATATATATATATATATATATATATATATATATATATATATATATATGTATGTATATATATATATATATGTATGTATATATATAAATCTATATATATATATATATATATATGTATGTATATATATATATATATGTATGTATATATATAAATCTATATATATATATACATACATACATACATATATATATATATATATATATATATATATATATATATATATATATATATATATATATATATATATATATATATATATATATATATATATATATATATATATATATATATATATATATATATATATATATATATATATATATATATATATATATATATATATATATATATATATATATATATATTGGTCACAAGTATATATTTATATATAAAAAATAAGGGGATAAAATATTTGCTATAATTGAAATTATGGTTTGTATTATTGTTTTATATATATTATATATTTTATTAAATTTTATCAAAGTTAACATTTTAAGTAAATTCAAAATAATAAAAAATAAATGTTTAAAAATGTTTAAAGCTAAATAAAGATTAAAAAATGACAAGTTTGGCTGCTGGATTGTTAGAAAGCTGTGAAAAGGTAAAAAAAAATTTGTAACCTTATATTTTCACAATAATTATCATTTTAAATATGTATATATATATATACATATATATATACATATATATATATATATATATATATATATATATATATATATATATATATATATATATATATATATATATATATATATATATATATATATATATATTTAAATTTAGTTTCTTTTTTTTTTTGACATAAAATGTTTAAAATTTTGTGTTAGACCTTTTGACTAAAATGAGACTTTTTAAATAGATATTTGGGTTTAGAAATATTAAGTTTCATAGTTAGTTTTTAGCATTTTAAAAACGTGCAGTTACACAGGTTAACAATGTGGAGCAATAGTAAGATAACAATATTTTGTGCTATTAATTACTAATTCTTTTTTGTCCATGCCAATATATCATGTGGGCTTATTAGTTTTGGCCAAATGAAAAATATTTCAAGTTTTGTCTGTATTATACATGATTTATTACCCATGTCTATAAAATATGGAAGTAAAATATAGCATAACTTATTTTTTTTTTGTGTGAAGCTTTCATCGAAATAAGATGCTCTTTTTTGTTTAAAAAAAAAAAAAAGGCTAAAAGTTTCACAATCATGCAAATAAAAGAACTATTAGAAGCCCATGAAAATACTTTATTAAAAATCTTTGGAGAGAAAATTGACAAACTTGAAGGGAAAATAGAGTAATTAAAAAACGAAAACATGTTACTAAAAAATGAAATTGCTACAATAAACAACTGGATGAACTTTCAAAATGAATATTACGAAAAAAACCATAAAGGAGACAAACCAACTTAATAAAAAACTAAACAATCACATAAAAAAAAATGACAAAAAAAATTCAAGCAAACTTTTTGTAGACAAATTTGCTGAATTAGAAGATTGCAGCAGGAGAAACAATTTGATGTTCGAAGGTTTTGAAGAAAAAAAAAAAAGAATCATGAGAAGAAAGCAAGTCAAAGGTAAAATACTTTATTAAAAAAAAAATTAAATATAAAACATGACATTCAAATAGAAAGAGTTCACAGAACTGGAAAAAAAAAGTAAATCTGGACAAAAAAAGCAACGAACAATAGTAAAGTAAAAAATAGTAAAGTTCCTAAACTATAAAGACAAAGAAAAAATATTACAACATTATAAATGACTAAAGCTTTGAAATAAATGGATATGTCTCAACGACGACTACAGAGAAAGAACAATAGAAAAAGTAAAATACTCTTTGCAAAAGCTAAAAAATTATAATCCTCAGGTAAGTATGCAAAAGTAGTTTAACAAACTGATAATGCGCGATTAATAACAACAATCACAAAAAGTTTTTAGTGATATGTACACGGACAGTTTTTATCATTACCCCAATACCATAAAAGAATTTCTTTTTAAAAATGTAAATGATAGAAACAGTGAAAGAATCAGAATCCTCCACATTAATATAAGGAGTTATATATAAGGAAATAAAACAAGGAGTTAAATATAAGGAAATAAAGATAATGAAAACTTTCGACATTTTCTAGAAGAAACTGAAAACATTTTTAATATTATATGTGTTACGGAAACTTGGTGCTCTTCTTTCGAACTTGAAAATAATTTTAATTTTCGTCTTAAGAATTTTGAATTAGTTTCAATAGAAAGACATGCAAATAAATGCAGCGGAGGAGTTTCTGATAGATGTAAAAGAAAACATTGAATATAAAATTAGAAGCAATTTGAGCGTTTCTGACAAAGATAAAGAGATCGCAACAATTGAATTAATTATTAACAAAGGAAAAAACATACTTATAAGCAGCTGCTATAGGCCACCTGATGATGTGTGGAAAAATTTTAGCTCTTATTTGCAACGTAATATAGTTCACGCTGGTAACAACGAAAGAAAAAAAAACTTTATAATTGAGGGATTTTAACATGTACTTTTATTTATAGCGATGACAAAAAAGTGAGAAGTTTCTTTGATGAATTTTTTTAGCAGGTGCAATTCCCCTAATCAATCATTCAACTAGAGTAACAAAAAATTCTGCTACCCTCATTGACAATATTTTTACTACAGACGTCTTTAATAACTCCATCCATCATAAAAACTGATATATCCGACCACTTCCCTATTTTCATAACCCTTAACACAACATCAAATAAAATTAAACAAAATAGAACTGTGAAAAAAACGTATTTACAATGAAAAAAATAAAAATGATTTTAAACATCAACTATCATTACTCCATTGGAGGCATATCAACTTTCTACTTAGTACATGATGTGAACTTTCCAGTATGTGAAAAATTTAGTCAACCTTAAATAGTCCTTGGATTACAAAAGGCTTAAAAAAATAAAGCAAAAGTTGTATATTAAATATTTAAAGACTAAATCTTCTGCAAATGAAAAAATATATAAAAATTTATTGGAAAAAATTCTTAAAAATCTAAAAAAAAATTATTATATTAATCTGCTCAATAAGTTTAAAAACAACTCAACGCACACCTGGCAAATAATAAAAGAAATTAAAGGAAAATCACAAAATCACTTAAGCTCTTTACCACAAACTATAAAATTTGAAGATGTAAATATAAGTGAACCGAGCAAAGTTGCAAACATATTTAACAAATTTTTTACTGAAATTGAAACAAATCTTTCTAAAAAAATTCCTAAGACTGAGAGTTCGTTTAAAGACTTCTTGTGTCCTATAATTTATAGGACACAAGAAGTCTTCAAACTCATTGTTATAACAAGAGTTGTTTATAGGCTATAAATAACTCTCATTATAACAATGAGTATTTTTCTGAATTATCTCACTACAAGCTCGATAGAGCCTTTAAATCTCTAAAAAGAAATAAAGCTATTGGCGCTGATGAAGTAAGTGGTAACATAGTTGTAGATTGTTATGAAAGTCTGAAAGATATAAAAAAGGAGTTTTCCCAGATCAATTGAAAATTCCAAAAATTATATCAATTTATAAACAAGGCAATAAAACAAACATTAACAACGATCAACCAATTTCGGTTCTTTTCAAAATTATTAGAAAGAATAATATATAATAGAATATTTAAATATTTTGACCAAAATAATATACTATATACTTAACAGTTTGGCTTAAAAAATATTTCAACTGAGCATGCAGTTATTCAATTTGTTAGGGAAATCTCAGAATCGATCGAAAAAAAAAATACACTCTAGGTGTCTTTATTGATCTTTCAAAAGCTTTCGATACCGTTGACCATAAAATATTGCTTAAAAAGCTTGAATACTATGGAATAAATAACAATATGCTAAAATGGTTTCATAGTTACCTATCAAGTAGAAAGCAATTTGTTACCTCTAACAATGGTCTTCAAACTGATTCTGTTGAAATAACCTGTGGTGTTCCACAAGGCTTTATTCTAGGTCCTCTTATGTTTTTAATTTGTATTAATGATTTAAGTAAAGCAGTTAATCTTCGGAGTATTATGTTTGCTGATGATACGAGTTTATTCTTATTAAACAGTAATATTAATGAACTGTTTTCTGATATGAATAAAGAACTTAAATGCGTATCTGAGTGGTTTGAATGTAACAAATTAACCTTAAACTTTGATGAAACAAAATACATTCTGTTTCACCCTATATCTAAAAAATATTTTTTACTGACAACCATGCCAAAAATTGTTGAGTTTGAAATAAAAAAGGAAACTTTTACTAGTATTCTTGGTATTTATCATGATGAGAATGTTACGTGGAAACCGCATATTGACTACATTTGCACTAAAGTTTCTAAAAATATAGGAGTCCTCTATAAGTCAAGAAATTATTTAAACAAAACCATATTGCATAGTTACAAAACTATGTAATATGGTTTTGTTTAAAACCATATTGTAATATGGTTTTAAACAAAACCATATTACAATACTCTATTACTCATTTATACATAGTTATATTAACTATGCAAATATTGCTTGGGGAAGTACAAGCAAAAGTAAGTTGCATACTCTTTATCATCGTCAGAAACATGCAATATGCTTAGCTTGTTTTGAAAATCGACTTACACATTCAAAGTTTTTCTTTAAAAATATTAAAGTATTTAATATTTATAAAGTGAGTTTATATAAAATATTATGTTTTATGTTTTAATGTAAAATCAATCCGTCATTACACATTTTTAAAGATTTTTTTACCTTAAGAACAAAAAATAAGTATACACTACGAAATGATAACTTGCTCTTTGAACCCTTTTGTCGAACAAATTTCAATCAGTTTTATATAGCTTATCGTGCACCTAATCTCTAGAACAAAATTGTTTTACCTAATTTTGATTTATCAATTAGCTTCTTTCTTTCAGTCTTTAAAAAAAAGATTATAAGAATTCTTTCTTTTTAATGACAAAATTTTGAAATACTTTTAAAAATAAGAGATTTACATAAAGATGTTCTTTTGTTTTTTGTATTTTGTCATTTTTATTTGTTTATATTTATTAATGGCATAAGTTATATTTTATTATAATGTTTTATGGTTCTGGTGACAAGTTAGATCTTCTATCAGATACCAAGTTTTTATTTAAACTAGTCTATTTCTTTTTTTTTATGTTTTTTTTTTATTTTTATTCTTATTGATATGGTGATTATATTCTCTATTATACTTTATTAAAAGTATAAAAACTCTAATATTTGTAAATGTAAAACTTTATATTAAAAAAAGAGGAAAATTTATATATATATATATATATAAAATGTATGTATGTATGTATGTATGTATGTATGTATGTATGTATGTATGTATGTATGTATGTATGTATGTATGTATGTATGTATGTATGTATGTATGTATGTATGTATGTATGTATGTATGTATGTATGTATGTATGTATGTATGTATGAATGTATGTATGTATGTATGTATGTATGTATGTATGTATGTATGTATGTATGTATGTATGTATGTATGTATGTATGTATGTATGTATGAATGTATGTATGTATGTGTGTATATATATATGTATATGTGTAAGTGTTAGTATTTATGTAATAAAATTATATTTTAAAAAAATCTATATTATAAAAAATTATATTATAAAAATAAATAAATAAATAAAATTATCAGACCGGAACACATTAGTCAAAACAGCGATTTTTCAGTATCTACGTCTTTATTGATTGTTAAGAATTTGAAACGATTTAAAAGAAGAAAAAAAGTGATAATTTATTAAAACTGAAGAACAAGCATTAAGATGAATTAAAAGGAGATGATTTAAAAGGAGAAAAAAAAATATTTATTTTTTAAAAAACTGAAGATGTTTAACAACTAAAAATAACTAAGAACTTGAACAAATTTATAACCAGATATAAAAACTCGAAATACAGTTACACATAATACTCGAAAAAAGCAATAGAAAGTTAATTAAATGGATCCTCTTACCGAAATAAAAAATTACCAATATGACAATTTTTATCTACCGATCCTCTTAACAAAATAAAAAAATACAGATAAAACAATTTTTATTTACCGATAAGACAATTTAAGCGAGTAAACATTTTGTAAATGCAACAAGTTTTAGAGATCAAAAAAATCAATAATCACCACAAACAAGTTATAAAGATAAAAATGTAAACTGTATTATTGAAATATTTTAAATATATATATATATATATATATATATATATATATATATATATATATATATATATATATATATATATATATATATATATATATATATATATATATATATATATATAATATTAATAAAAATAATATTAATAAAAATAATAATAAAAAAATAAATTATAAAATAATAATAAAAAAATAATATTAATAAAAGTAATAAAAAATATATATATTTGTAATACGGTTAAAAGTTATTGTAATATGGCTAAAACTGTATTTCTACTAGGTGATTTTAATATAGATTTAATTAAAAGTGACTTGCATTCAACTCAAAAGTTATTAAATTTACTATCCTCTAACTTCTTCTTGCCTCATATTGTCCATCCTACTCATATAGTTGATAAATCTAAAACATTAGTTGACAAAATATTTTTAAACCTTAAATCAAATAACTTTACTGCAGGTAATTTCACAACATCTATATCTGATTACCTCCCTCAATTTCTGATTACTCATGACATCTTAAAAGTAACATCTAAAAAAAATCAGCTGTTTATTAAAGAAACTGGAAAGTATTTAATAAGCCATCATTTTTATCTGATTTTAATAAAGATTTTAATGATATGGTTGCCAATGGTTCTTGTGGTAATGACTGTAATAATGATAATAAAGCTGTATTTTATAATGATTACAAAAAGTACCGTAATACACTTCAATTAATAATTAAAGAAAGTAAAAAAGTTACTAAAACAACTATTAAAAAAAATATGTACTTAATGTTAAAGCAACATTGAGTTTTTTTGTAATTTTATGAACAACGCTTTTTAAATGTTTATTTTTTACATTATTAGTTACAAGTTGGGTTGTATCATATTTCTTACTTGGAGAAATTTGCCTTACAACCATTTCACTAAAATATTTCTTTTTTTTCTTTTTATTTGTTTCATTCCATAGTATTCCTTCATCATTATCCAAGTTAGTATGTGCTACTTTTTGTACTTTTTTATTAACAGAAAGACATGAATGTATGATGTTATCTGGCTCTACAGAGACTTCACTGATTTATTTATTTACCTGGCACTGTAATTTAGTATTAATTACTAACATAGATTTTATTTTATCATACAGTTTCATATTTTCGTTTGGTAAATACAATAATAATTTGTTGTTGTTGCCATTCATTTTGATTTTGTTTAGATTCTTTGGGATTTGATTTATCGTATTATTATTTTTACATTTTTTAGAAAACCATTTTAAGTTAACAAAATGATCTGGTTCACAGATAAATTTAAATTATTTTTCTGATAGGTGAGAACATTCTTTGTGAGACCAAGTAGCACACACTCCTTCGCATTTGATGGACTCATGATTTTCTTAAATTATATTATCACACTCATTACATTGATACTTTGCTTATGATACTTTGCTTACTATCATTATTCTGTCTGATATTACTATCATTATCTGTATGATACTTTGCTTACTATCATTATTCTGTCTATTGATTGGTATGGTTGTTTTTTTTGTGTGTTCACTCATTATTTTATTTTGTTTTACTCATTATTTTTTTTCATTTTACGATTATTATTTTTAAAGATCTCTCTTTATAATTAACTAATAGTTAAAGTTTAACTTGGTTTCTTTTTTTTTTATTCATTCTTAGTATTTCATTCTTTTTTTAATATTCACTTTCTTTATATTTTGGTATTGCAAAAACTAATTTGTATTGTTTGCAAGTTCGCTCTCCTCCTTTTAGCCAGGCTATATGAGAGTGAACCTTCCAGTCAGTATTATGTCATTTAACACCTTTGTATAATATTTACTGGTAAATATATTGTTATTGTTGTAAATGTTAAGTGTTAACAGTTTTTCTTTTGGTTAAACTACTTTTTGGATTAATAAATGGTTATACAGCAATATAAATATTAGTCAAGGTTAAGAATTTCTCTTGGGTCATAGTTCTCAAAGTTCATAGTCTGTTTTGAAAATTTGGAAGTTTGTTCTGAATTACAGACACTTTCTTGGATTATAGTTCTCAAATTTTTTTGCATTTTTAATTTTCAAATTAAAAGCATTTTTCAAATTAAAAATGCTTTTAATTTGAAAATTGACAAACAGCCTTGTTCGGCAAGGTTTGAAATATAAATATATTAGATAAAAACAATTTTAAAAAATTGAAATATAAATATATTAGATAAAAACAATTTTTTCATAAAAAATCGAAGAAAAAAAAGTTAAGCTAATATTATTTTGAGATTATAAAGACTTTATAATCAGTTTTTTGAAAAGAAAATGTTAAACTTTTAATATTGCCTTTTATTTTATTATTAGTTATATTTTTAATTTGTTCTCATTTATGCTATTTTTTATCTTTAATTGTTATTTTTATATATTTTATTTGCAATCAAGTTATTTTTTTTTTTAATAAAGGTTATTTGCGATCAATTAAAATTTTTAAATGAATATGAAAAGTTATGTGAAGATGCATTAAAAACAATTAGAAAGGTAACATTTCATTATTATTTATTTATCTACACCAGAGTTGTTTTTTTATTTTTTTTATTTTTTTATTTTACTTCACCTCCTCAAGGCCGAGAAGGCCACTACAGACGAGGAGGCTACTTATTATGTGGCTATAACCCTCTCTCAACTCTATAACTCCGAAACACGAACCTTGACGAACAAGGCCGCTGCGCGGAGAAACGAGTTGAGCGCGGTACTACCAGGGACGTGGTGGGGATCGAACTCAGAACCACTCGTTTATGAAGCGAGCGCTCTACCACTACACCACTACCGCATTTAACTAGGTGTTAAGTAGTTATTTAATTACAAAACTAAAGCGTGTGCTACATGGCTAAAACTATGTCACGAATTTCTAGGCAATGTCAAATTTTAACCTTGAGTTCTCTTTTTTAAGCTCAGTTATTTTGTCCATTATTACTAATAGGGTTACATAAATTTTGCTTTGAAGCAGTTTTGCTTGAAATAACAGAAAGTTATTTTTATTATTGTTTAAAAAATAATAATTTATAAACATAAAGATTTAGGATCATGTGCTTTCCAATTTATCAATATTGGAACGAATATTAAAATTTGTTTTTTTTATCTTTCTGTAAAATGTAAATTGATGCTTGTTCAGTCTTGTTAATTTTTGTTCAATCAAGAAGCTCTTGTGCAATCATAAGATTAGTTTTCCAAATACATTTCTTGGTTTTCCTTTAAATATATTTCAAGCATTTTTTTTTTTAATCAACTCCATTGTTAATGTTATTGTTGTCAAAGGTTCTGTCAAAAATTTCACAATCTGAATCAATCATTACATTTATTTACTAATGTTAATGCCTTAGCATCAACAACAAACCTTGACAAACAAGACCACTGCGCAGAGAAGCAAGTTGAGTGCGGTACTACCAGGGGCATGGTGGGGATCTTTCTTGACTCGGAACTTCTCGCTTATGAGGTAAGCGCTCTACCACTTGGGCATTTACAGTAGGCACTTTTTAAATACCTAATTATTAAGAAAATAATATATTTTAAATATATTATTTTCTTAATAAAAAAAGAAAATACACTCTTCATATATATATATATATATATATATATATATATATATATATATATATATATATATATATATATATATATATATATATATATATATATATATATATATTTATATATATATACATATTTGTATATATATATATATTTATATATATATATATATATATATATATATATATATATATTTATATATATATATATAAATATATATATATATATATATATATATATATATATATATATATATATATATTTATATATATATATATATATATATATATATATATATATATATATATATATATATATATATATATATATATATATATATATTTATATATATATACATATTTGTTCAAAACTTATTCAGGTCTTTTAAAGTTTAAAAACTTTCCATAACATCTTTATAAAATGGATATACCGCATTTTGCAAACAAGCTTTAATTGGATATACAGCATTTTGAAAATAAATGCAAACTTATTGACAAAAAAAATAAATTTTTTTATTTAATAATATTTTATTTATTAACATTATATAATATACTTTATGTATATATACATTAAGAAACAATAATTTTTTCAAATATACGAGACATGTTGGTGTGGCGAAAAAAGTCAATTATCTCAATACCACAAAAATGGATATACCGCATTTTGAAAATACACTCTTCATATATATATATATATATATATATATATATATATATATATATATATATATATATATATATATATATATATATATATATATATATATATATATATATATATATATATATATATATATATATATATATATATATATATATATATATATATATATATATATATATATATATATATATATATATATATATATATATATATATATATATATATATATATATATATATATATATATATATATATATATATATATATATATATATATATATATATATATATATATATATATATATATATATATATATATATATATATATATATATATATATATATATATATATATATATATATATATATATATATATATATATATATATATATATATATATATATATATATATATATATATATATATATATATATATATATATATATATATATATATATATATATATATATATATATATATATATATATATATATATATATATATATATATATATATATATATATATATATATATATATATATATATATATATATATATATATATATATATATATATATATATATATATATATATATATATATATATATATATATATATATATATATATATATATATATATATATATATATATATATATATATATATATATATATATATATATATATATATATATATATATATATATATATATATATATATATATATATATATATATGAAGAGTGTATTTTCAAAATGCGGTATATCCATTTTTGTGGTATTGAGATAATTGACTTTTTTCGCCACACCAACATGTCTCGTATATTTGAAAAAATTATTGTTTCTTAATGTATATATACATAAAGTATATTATATAATGTTAATAAATAAAATATTATTAAATAAAAAAATTTATTTTTTTTGTCAATAAGTTTGCATTTATTTTCAAAATGCTGTATATCCAATTAAAGCTTGTTTGCAAAATGCGGTATATCCATTTTATAAAGATGTTATGGAAAGTTTTTAAACTTTAAAAGACCTGAATAAGTTTTGAACAAATATGTGTATTTAATGTTTGGTCATTATATTTTATTGATAATGTGAATGTAAACAATGTTTTATTAAAGTAATGTAAACTATTACATTTTTACAATTCGCAATTGTAAATTTATATTTGTTTCGGATAGTTAAATATGGACAATAATCAATAATATTTTTTTTAGTGTTGTGTAGTTGTAACAATGATGATCACTATTTTTAAGTCTCCATAGAACTAATGGACAATTAATACAACATAAAAGTCATCGTTATATTTTTGAACGAAATAAAATTTTAAAAATGAAATACTGCAATAGCCTCATTTTATTTGCAACAAAGCAATTGTCGGTTTAACAAAAAATAAAAAGGAAGTATTATTATTGAATGCTTTCCATTAAAAAACAGGTAACAAATATATTTAAACTTATTAATTTAAGTTGCCTTTTTAATATATTTTCTATCATGATTCCATAATTCGTTCAGTTAAACAAACAAAGCATGGTAGTTTAAACGAACACTAGAATTAAGAAATGCTTTTCTTTTCTTTTGTTTCATACATCATATCTTTTTTTCTATGTGAAATAGGATATTAGGTAACGCATTAATCTTGTCCATCGCAATCCGCCATTTCTTTAACGCAACTTTAAGATATTTGCGCTTGCGCAGAAGTAATTTGCCACGGATTGGTCAAAATTAAATACCGCATTTTGAAAACAAATAAAAAATTTTGTACCGCGTTTTGAAAATAAATGTTTTTTAGAAGTAAAAAAATATTGGGTTATACTTCGTTTAGCATATATTCATACACAATGTCTGCTAGGTCCTTATAAACTAAAAATAAACCACACAATTTCTAAAAAATTTTTAAATGGCGTTTACCGCATTTTGAAAATAAACTCTTCATATATATATATATATATATTTATATATATATATATATATATATATATATATATATATATATATATATATATATATATATATATATATATATATATATATATATAAATATATATATATATACATACATACATACACAAACCTATAGTAAAGGTGTTAAAAAAAGTTATATATATAATAATTAGCAAGCTAATTATTGACAAATTATTGACGCACATTAAAATCACAACATCTCCCCCAGCTCAACAAGAGCTCTACATAATCATGATACTTTCGGTTAGGAAGTACTCTTCTCCCATAGCGAGTGAACTGAACAGGCTGTAACTCTGTCTCACAACTTTGTCGGATAGTTTTAATCAGCGTGGTGCATACTATTGTCATTTTCGTCGTTGTCCAGGGAATTTATTTGAGAACTTGGATCTTCGATTACGACATGTTTTAAGTTTGTTTCGGGAGTTTTGACCAGTTTTAGATTGTAATCGTCATCAGTTGTCATATCTTCTTCGTTTTTGTCTACACGATGATGCTGCAGATGTGAAAAATGTTGTGGCAACATATGTCCGTTGACTTTAACTTCAGCTGTTAAACCATTATGCAGTGCCACTATACTTCCTTTTAACCTTCACTGTGTACACAGTGTCATATGCTTGGGCTTCACCTACACTTTATCGCAACAACATGATTTCCTTTATCCCACAAAATCACATTAGAATCAATTGAATTGCATTTATCACATTCAGGAACAACTTGTTTCACAGTGTTTCTGCTAACGTGGATATGAGCACGTGAGCATAACTCCATACTATTGGAACCTCCTATGTGTGCTATTGAATGAATGTTTTTAATCTGCTGACTATCGTGCTTATAAATGATATTACATTCTTGCGTTGCAAATTTGTTTTTTATCCATCTTGTTGGCACCCATGTGAGTTTATCTGCGATATTTTTTGTTGTTTACATTTATAGCATAATCCTCTACCAGTTTTCCAAATATTTGAAGCCTTCGTCGAATAAGCATTTCACATTGCCCAGCACATTTTACAGGTTTTTCACAAGTCAATTCAGAATTTAACCAACTGAATACACTATGAGAATCAGTTTTGATAGAGACATCACTTGGGTACCATTTCAATGCCATTTTTGAGACCTTCAATACATGCATCCAATTCAGCCACGTTGATATGCATTACATCAGACTTTGGTCAAAGCCAAGTCGCATCTTCTATTTTTTTGTCACCTTGCATTATTACTACTCCTTTTGCCAGCGAACTTGCATCACACCATACAGTTAGAGATGCATTTGTTTTGACATTTTATATGCTTTTTGCTGGATCGCATTTGATGACTTTATCCACGACTTCCTGCATCATTTCATTAACCTACTTATTCGTTATAGGTTCATACCAGCTTCCTTTGTACATCTCTTTATAAAGATTAGCAACCAGATTACCACATAATGAGAATATATCCCTCTTGGTGAGAACATTTTTAATAATGGGAATCTTGTGTCCACTCTTCCAAAGCATTTCCTTTGTAGATGGATTTACTGTTACTACCAACCCGAACTGGTTCTTTGCAAAAATATTCAGGTGTTTTTGTGTGAAAACCCCATTTCTTTATATGTGTCACCAGCTTTCTTCCATTTCCATTGGTTGTTTAGGTGTCATCAATGTATTCTCTTGTTTATTTTGCAAGTGCAGAATTTTGTTGGAGAAAATATTGTAGTATTGAGCTCATCATCACAGGTGCTAGGTTTAAACCAAAGCCCAAACGTGAAAGTGCATATCGTTGATCTTTGTAAATTACAATTTAGTAACGGCAATGTCGTTTATGCACATGAATTTGTAGGTATGCTCTTTTTAAATCCACCACCGAGTCGTTGCTATTTTTACTCATGAGTCTCCTGGTTCTCATTGTATCGTTGATGACATCCGCATCCCTTGTAGAGGATTTTACATGAGTGTTAAGTTTGCGATAATCAAGTACCGATCTTCTCTTCTTTTTATTATCTTGAATGACGCATAAAAGGCGTTACGATGTTGGTTAGATATGTTATACTGGCTTGTTCTGTTTTTTATTTTAAGTTCGTTCTCCCACTCCCAACTTACAATCCATTTTTTGCCATCAAAATAAGCTTTGCTCGTTCCAATTTCAATTGTCGCAACACGAGGTGTTGATGATAACTTAATCAGAGAATTACAGAATTTCAATTTTCCAATGCCGATTTTCCGTTCATCACATAACTTTATTAGATCCATATTCATAATCATGTTGTACTTGTTTATTACTTCATCCACACATAACACCAATGCATCCACCAAGCACCCGTTTGTTGGGTGGTGCATTTTAGAAACAACTTCTTCACATCTAATTATTCCCACATTATTGAAACATTCACTGCACAAATCAATTTATAGTCAGATGGTAGTAACTTCTTGGTGATGATTGATTGCAAGCAACCAGTATATCCACAAGCGCTGTAGCTTTTCTTACGTTTATTACCAAGTTGATAGTAGGTAGTATTGTTTTGGGACGAGTTCTTGTAGAAATACCTAATGCGAACTTGTCCCATTTAAGTTTTCTTGGTTTTGTCGACGTTTGTAGCAGTCCTTCATAGCATATTTATGCGAGCATTTCTAGCATAAAGAGGTACATTCACGTGCAAAGTGATTTAATGGTTTGCAGTTGAAACACAGCATTTCTTTCTTTCTCCGTATATCACTTGACATTACAGTCCCAGTTGTTCGGTAACTTGCATTTACTTCTTCATTCACAAATAAACATGCCACATCAAATATAGTTTGTACAATCATGGATGCAGTCTGGACACAATAGTTAAAGCTCAACACATCTTCTCCCCAAAGAATTGCACGCAGAACAGCGCTATCATTAATCCCAATAATGAATTGATCACGAAGTCGGGCGTCTCTCTCTGGAGGCAAGAACTTGCATTCTTGAGCTGCTCAGATCAATTGATGCCCAAATGTCTGTATCGATTTTTCATTGCCAAAATAAGTTTTCCCAAATTCATACCGTGAGATTAACGATAACTTCCTAATTTCCAATGTTTCCAGTTTCGTCACCAACTCTTTGTATGAAACGTTCTCTGGCAGTCTATTGTTCATCACGAAAAAAGAAGTCAACTGACGAATAAATCGCTGTCCATCTTCATATTGCGGAGATAATAGACATGCCCGGTTAGCTTGTTGTTTAACTAATTTAGAATTTATTTATCAACAAACTATCTAAGTAAGAGATTAAAGAAAAAAAGTTTTTAGCTTTTGAGTTTGCAGGGTCAGTGTGATGGATATTAAAGTTACCAAGGTCAGTGTGATGGATTAGAAAGTTACCAATTACAAGAATACTAACTGACAAATAAAGAAAAAAGGCTAAGTCAATTTGATCAAAAACAACATCAAAAAATGTGCAGTCCTGTGAAGAAGGAGAACAAAATAAAATAAAACAAATTGTGATTGAGTGAAGAGGTGCTATATGAAACCACAAAAAAGAACCGAAGAATAATAGCCTTATATACAATGATCTGAAAATAAAACATCTGAAATTAAATTAGTCTAACAAATAGTAATATGTCTAGAAAATTTTGCAATGGGCATTTTGACAAATTTTGACTAATGAAAGTTCACATCGAAGGCCACAAATGTTTGTAAAACTTAACACAATCATAGAAAGTGCATGACACCCATCCAAATTGCCATAGCAATAAATTATTTTGTTGCCTCGTTCCTGCTAATCAATCCAAAGTTGTAACAAAGTACTTCTTTATGTAGTTACTAACCTTCCACGATAAACTTGTACAGTTACCTTGGAATACCTTATACGAGCAGCATGTACAGTTTTAACTTCCGCGTTTACAGCAGGTACAATAGCAAACATAACTTTCATTTTACATAGTTACAATAGTTCCTACAGCTAGTTCAAAATTCTTAAAATTTATAAGAAAATGTTTTTATAGATTGTTTTTAGGAATTTTATTTCTATGAGTGTTTTGCTTTTTATAGTTCTGTAAATTACTCATTTTTTTTTGTTCTGCCTAATTTAGTTTTGTGTTTGCTGAAGTTAAGTTTAATATCTTTGCATCTAATGCACCAATGCTAATTTTAATTTAAAACTCTAATGCACCAATGAAAATTCTAATTTAAAATTCTAATTTTAATATTTTTCTAATTTTTAGTCTTGCCAATATCATCAAATGTTTTAAGTATATTAAACATGTTTTCTCACTTTATGTGTTCTATCTAGTAAAACAAACCTAAATTGTAGAAATTATCTTTTTTTAGTTTTTTTAGGGATGTCACATGACTGGAACATTTTTTTGAACATCTAAAAAGTTTATTAAAAGCATAACTTAGTCTTCAAAAAAGTTTTGTAAAAGTTTCAATAAATTTATGTTTGTAAAAAAACACAACATGAAAAAATATTTTAAATGTATGAATAAAGAAGTAAAGTTTTGTAAGTTTCTTTAAATTTATATTTATAAAAAAACGCAGCATGAAAAAATATTTTAAAAGTATGAAAAACTATTTTCTGTTATTAATATGCACTAATAAATTTATTATTTTGTTATTAATATGTAATTAATATATAAAATCTAAAATAATAGTTTTTATATAAAAAAATAATTATTTTTTTGTATTAATTTAATTATTATATAATTTAAGAACAGCTGTTGTAAGAAATAAATATATAAAAATATATTTTTAAAAAATCTTAATTTTCATGTTTAATTTTTGTATTTTTTAATTATAATTTTGTACTTTAATTGTTAGCTTCATGATGCAAGTAAGGTTGTGTGGTCTTCACAAAGCCCAAATATACTTTTGCTAAAACAAATTTTGTCAGAAATTATTAAAGGTAGTATCTATATATTTCTTTGCTTATGTAAGAAAGATAATGTATAATATAAGATGTTAATGTAGAAAAATATGATCAAAGTTTAAAAATATTGTAATTAATTCAAGATTTAAAATTAGGGATGTGTTTGTTCAGGTTCTGAATCAGTCTCGCTAACTACTGATTCTTTGGCACAAGGAAGCAAAAGTCTTGACAAATGTACAGAAAGTTCCCAAGAGATTCCTATCAATGGAAAGAAGTTATCAGATTTGGAAAACAAAACTCTTAACAAGGATACAGAAAGTCCTCAAGAGATTTCCATCAATGCAAAAAAATTGTTAGATTTGGAAAACAATATTCTTAACAAGGTTACTGGGTGTCCTCAAGAGGTTTCCATCAATGATTTATCTGATTTAGAAAAGTTCTCACATCAAATGCAGTGTATTTCTGGTAATTTATTATTTTACATCATTGTTTGTACATTTTTAAAGTTCTATTTTGTTTAAATGTTTATCAAAAATGTAGGTCCAAAAATTGGTGTGCGATATCAAATAGAAGTTACTAGTCCTTTAGGATTAGATGGCTCATATTGGGTGCGCAACAAAGAAAATGAATTCTTACAAAATAAGCTTCAACCTTTGTCGGAATTTTTGAGGTAAGTTTTCTTAAGCTTATTTATCATAATGATGATTATTTTAAAAAAATTTTAAAATTACTTATTTTTTTCATAGTTATTTATTTTTTTATAATATTTTTTTTTATAATTATTTATTTTTTTATGATTATCTATTTTTTTTATAATTATTAATTTTTTTTATAGTTACTTATTTTTTTTGTAATTACTTTTTTTTTTATAATCACTTATTTTAGAAAAACAACTATGGAAGATAAAAGTCTTTGGAAAGTTCAAGATGACTCAAAGGTTTTATGTGTTAAATCATCAGAGACTCAGTTGTGGATGCGAGTTCTTGTTGAAAGGCGCAATAGTCAAAATGAGGTAATTATTCAGTTTAGCATATTTTCAATATAGTTTTTCTTATTTAAAAATTTTTTATATATGGTTTCAGGTACGTGTTCGGTATATTGATTATGGCACAACTGAAGACTGTCAAGAAAATCGGTTGTGTACTGTTCCTGAAGTCCTTGCAAGAATACCTTACATGGCATTTCATTGTACATTTTTTGAAAAGGCAGTGAATCTGGGATACGATGTAATAAATATATGTAACTTGAATTATAATCAATAATAACAGAATGGTATTAAATAATAATAATACAAACAAAAAAGATTAATAATAAACAATCATAATAAAAAATATTATTAATAACAATGGATAATATTAATAAACTTTAATAACAATAATTTCATTTTTATAGTGAATTTATATTTTAGTGAGTTTACAGAACTTTATCCTTTACACTATACTATGTACACTGCTTGATTTAAGGGTTTTAAGTTAAATTTCAAAAGACAAAGTTTTTCTTTAGGATCTATTAATATCTATAAGCTGATAATAAAATCCTATGCATTCCTTCAAAAATTAATATTTTAATGATATTTTATTTATATTAACATCATCAAAACCCACAAGACCATCAATTGTTTTTGTTTTTATAATGTGGCAAGTTGATATGTAATAGCAACTTTAATGGTTATATAAATTTATGGCTAAAATGTTACAAAAATTTTTCTTTGCTTTTTTTTACTAAACTACAGGTTCCAAAATCAGAAGAAAATGCATGTTATATATGAATGGGTCAGAAGCCAAGGGGTACAAGTGACAATTTTACCAAAATTAAGTTAAGTATAGAATTTGATAGAAGAAGTCAACAAAATTCTCGGTGGCCAAGGGATACAAGTGAATCTCTGCCCTGTGCTGCTTTCTACTGGAAAAACATAACAACAGCTGAGTATATTTAACAAAAATACTTTAACTTTAAACAGCTGTATCTCAAAACTATGAAAATGTCACTTGTACCCCTTGGCTTCTGACCCACTCATATATATGTTACACACATTTTCTTTACATAATGCTTATAATAATAACATATTTAAGATACTATGTTATTAACTTCAACTGCTATATTCTTCAACAAGTTCACAAAATACACAAAGTCTTTCAATACAAGTTCCAATTCATTGTCATTTAAGAAAGCAATTTTTTTGTAATTGTAAAACTTTACAGAGCATAAGGCCACTTATTAATTTAATTCTTTTCAAAGTTTAGTTGTAAAATCCCATTATAAAATATATAATTTTTAATATATTAACTTTAGGATAACATTTTTGAAAATGAATTAATCTATAATTTTCTGTTAAAACTCCATTATAAATACCTAGGTGACCGAGATCAGTTTGTAAATCTCTAAGAATTTCAAAACTGCATTTTCACGCAAGTCATAATTTTTCTTGATATCAAGTTTTGTATCAAGTGTTGTATTAGTTGAGTCTACTTTTTTTGTTTAAAGCTTTGGTTTTAGCACTATAGGTAACCAAAGCAGGTAAAGTCCAGTACTACATGTAACAGTGATACTTCTAAAGTTTAAATAGAATATTGCAGCATGGAGTTTTCAATAGATAATAAAAAAGAAAGAAAAAGCTTACTCAATCAGTGATTGTAGCAAATTTTGTTTCATGATATACATTTAAACACAATTTTTTGAAATTCAGAAAATGTATTTTTTGGACTAAAATGGAACACTTGGGATTTATTTTTAATACACTCCAGTTAGTATGTATACATATTAAACAAATCTGAAGAAAACACTCATATATTTTGAAATTCAATCTAAGACCTTTATAAACAAGCAGTGTGTATATTATCAGAGATTAAAATAGGTGCCAAACATCAGTTCCTCACGGACTTTTGACTAGGCCTACTAAAGAAGGACAATCAACCATTTTTTCAAATTTTCTTACTAAATGAACACTGTTTAGTTGCCTTCTTTATCATCTCTTGAAGATGGTTAGGGGCGCGATGTCCAGCACCTATTTTGACATCTGAATGTTATACAAAAGTAAACTTTATTGAACATAAATTTTGAATTTATTTATTAATACTATTTCTTATTTTTATTTTTAGGCAAAATGGAAGTTTAGTGATCTGACCAATAAACAAATTTTGAATTTCACATGCGAGAAGAGAGTTTTACGTAACAATAAAGTCTTTTTTTTGGGAAAGTTAGAGACTGCTTCCTTTGAAAATGTGCCATCTGTAAATATTTCATCTTTAATGACAGATTTTTACGGTAATTTTTTTGCATGATTAGTGCATTAGTAATAGCTATAAATAAATTTAATTGTTAAAATTATTACCTAACTAAAAGTATTTATGTAACAAAATTTTAAAGTTTGCAGGAAGTAACTCCTTTTAACTACTCCAAGTCAAGTCAGATTCAGAACCATCACGATCACACGCTGCTAATGGTATCATGTAACCCAGTACTACCTGCCCCATGTCCTGCTGTCTATTAGGATGTGGTTTTTAAGGCAAAGGCTAAGAGAAGCAAACTCTGACTTAAAAATCCCCTTGTTGGGGCTCTTAGTTGACTAAAGACTAGAGATGGTGTCTCAAGAATAATACTCATCTTGGGCAGATGTTAACTGCATTCAGCTACTGTCTTGTAGGAGTTTCCTAGGCAAAGACTTTAGGGACAAGCAGAATAGTTCTGTTAACAAGTCTCGAATCCCTTCTTCATCTATTAGGCTAACGTATATGTAAACCTATTACATTGTTTCCTTCTAGGATGATGCTGATGAATGCTGGATCTTCTTGTCTCTACTCATAGGTTTTTGCTTGTGCCTCCTTGATAGCAGCAAATCATCCTGTTATCTTCTAATGAGGGTGCAGCTCTAAAACACAGTTTAATGGTTTTAAGGCCAGCTGGTAGTAAGGTTTCCTGAACTCTGTGGTAGCTCTCAGAGAAGCTGATTCCATCAACAGCTGCAAAAATCAGAGTAATAACAGTGTCATGTTGTGCATGGATGGTATCCCTGTTAATCCTTTTGGTACGCGTTTTTGAGGCCACAAAGGAGCCGTATGTTAGGACTTGAGATTAACTAACAGGATTGGGATAATTGCATAGTTCATTGCTTGGGAGATTTTCTATTTATGAAAGAGTCAAGTTCTCTTTAAACTTAAATCATGCCAAAAGTAACCCAAAACATTTAACATAATAAATCATCCCCAACACCTAACTGTTTTAATATATCTTTTACAAATATTCGTGGTCTGCGAAGCAACTTTCTATCAGTTGAATCTTACCTCTTGCAAAATTCACCAGGCTTGTTTACACTTAGTGAGACTAATTTAAATTCTGTTATTCCTTCTTCAGATCTCAATGTTGAAGGGTACTATCCTTTGATTCCTAAAGAGTCCAATAGTCACATGCTTGGCTATATGCATCAATTCACCTATTTGTCGTTAAATCAGGTTTGAATCTTTTGACCATTCTTTTATGTGCTTCTGCTTAGCATCTCTTCACTCTATCACCTTTCTCTTTATTCTTTATTGTTCTCCTTCCTAAAATTGCACTCTTTTAGATGTAGTTTCGATATTGACTATACCCTCTCTCTTTATCCCTCTGCCAATATTGTTGTTATTGGTAACTTTCATGCTCATCACACTGAATGGCTTGGTTTCTAAGCCACTGTCCTTGCTGACACTAAAGCCTATAACTTCTGCATTTCTCAATCTCCTTAGATTTTTAACTTGTTTTTCTGACAACCCTAATCATTTATCTTCACTCCTTGATTTATGTCTGGTCTCTTATCCTAGCTTATGTTCAGTATGTCCTTTTTCTCACTTAGGTAGTTCTGACCATGCAATGATCTCTATAAATCTTTCATCTTGTACTTCTTTTTTGGACTCATCCTATCATCGCACTACTTACTACTACCCTAAAACTGACTGGTATTGTTTTCAGGATTTCCCTAGTGGTAATCGAAAGAACTTTTATTTTATTTTGACTCTTGAATCTTTCCTGCTTTCATTCCAATTAAACAGGTTAACCCATTGTTACACATTCAAATCACTCCAGCTTTCGTTGCTCAAGTCATATCTCAATTAAACTTTTCTATGGTTTGTGGTCCTGACCACACTGCGGTCATAGTCTTACAAAATTGTTCTCCAGAACTCTCTTCAATTATCTCTAAACTATTTAATAAGTGCTTGACTGAGTCTTGTTTTCCTGTGTGCTGGAAAATAGCATCTGTTCCTGTTTTCAAAAACTCTGGTGAACATTCTGACCCTTCTAATTATTGTTTGATCAGTCTTTTTTCTATTACTTGCAAAGTTTTTGATTCTTTGATTAACAAATTTCTCACATTCTATCTTGATTCAAATAACTTGCTGTCAAACAATCAATATGGTTTTTGATCCTCTCGGTCTTTGGCTGACTTGCTAACTGCTGTAACTGAAAGATTTTATTGTGCATTAGATGGAGGTGGAGAGGTTAGGGCTATTTCTCTTGACATATCTAAAGCTTTTGACAAAGTTGCTGCAAAGCTGGTCTTCTTTGCAAGCTTGCTTTATATCTTTTATCGGAGAAATTTTTAAGTTTATCAAATTATTTTTATTCTAACAGCTTCATTGAAGTCATCCTCAAAACCAACATTCTTCTTTATTTCTAGAAACTTCTGAGGTACTTCAAGGTTCTATCCTTGGTTCTGTTTTGTTTCTTATCTACATTAATGATCTTCCGGACAACCTTAAAAAAAAAAAAGTATTTACTGATTTCTATTTATTTTCTATTTACTGATGACTCAACTTCATACTTCTGTCTTGACTCTCTTTTCGATTGTTTATAACAGGCAGCTGATCTAGAATCTCACTTCTGTAAAAGATTGAAGCTTTCAGTGGCTTGTAAATTTGGACTCAAAAAAACTCAGTTATTTACTGCAAACAACTATGGCAATACTGTTGATATTTCTATATTAATGAATGGCAGCCCTCTCATAGAGTCATTTTTTTATGTCTTCTTGGATTATTGTTTACTACTGACCTATTATGGTAACCATATATACAATCGCTTGCTAAAATAGCGTCTGCTAAGGTTGCTTCTATTTATTGTGCTTGGCATGTTTTTACTCCTGATTCCATTCTCTACCTTTATAAATCTATTCGTCCCTGTATGGAATAGTGTTGTCATATTTGGGCTGGTTCTTGTAATGATGTTCTTTTTCTTCTAGAAAAGTCCAAAAACGCATTGTAGATGTTGTTGGACCCGCTCTATCTGCTAAGCTTGAGCCTCCCATCATTATAAAGTTGCATCTCTTTCTCTTTTCTACAAATACTATTATGGTCGCTGCTCAAAGGAGCCATCATCTCTAGTTCCATCAACTAAAACTCATTCTTGCTTTTTTTTTAGTTCCATCAACTAAAACTCATTCTTGACTCGTTATTCTGCAAAGTCTCAATGGTTTACTGTATTTGTCTTTGCATGCTCTAAAAAATTTTAATCATCTAGTTTTTTCCCTGCACTTCAACCATCTGGAAAACATGAAGATGGGAGCGAGTTCCCATCTTCATAAAGATGGGAATTCGCTTCCATCTTCATGTTTTCCTGGCTCATACAACCTACAACTTTTCAAGTTTTCTGTCAATGGTTTCCTTGCTCTATAACTCTATTCTTTTTTTTTTTTTAGTAAGTCTTAACTTAATAGTTGTTGGGATTGAATCAGAATAAAAAAAAATAAAATTTTTTATTGAATTTTGTTTCCATTTTTAAAACAATGTTTGTAATAAGCAAAACAAATTTTTATAATTTTCGTATAAAACTAAATAAAATACAATATAAAAAACAAATTCTAAAAATAGCAATGAAAAACTTAGCAAATTAAAAAAAAAAAAAAAACATAAAAAAAGTTTAAGGAAAGTGTTATAAATGAATTTTAAAGAAAGGGTTAAAAGCGTCATCAACTAAAGTTAAGTATGAATTAATGGTGAATAGCAACCTGCCACCGAGGAAAGTGTTATAAATGAATTTTAAAGAAAGGGTTAAAAGTGTCATCAACTAAAGTTAAGTATGAATTTTAAAGAAAGGGTTAAAAGCGTCATCAACTAAAGTTATGAATTAATGGTGAATAGCAACCTGCACAACTGAATTCTTAGCAATAACAGATTTAAAATCTTTAGGAAAGAAATTTTTGGTTATAAATTGAGCAAAAAAGCAAAAAATATAAAATAAATAATATTTAAAATAATATTTAAACTTTCTTCATTATTTTTTATTTATTTCTATTTAAATGATTTTTTATTTAATTACTTTTTATTAATATTTATTTTATTTATATCTTTATGATTAAACTTTTTTTTTAACTCTGTTACACATTATATTATACATATGCGAGTTTATGCATTACACATTACATTACACATATGCGAGTTTATGTATTACACATTACACATATGCGAGTTTATGTATTACACAATACATTACACATATGCGAGTTTATGTATTACATATTACATTACACATATGCAAGTTTATGTATTACACATTAGGGTCATTCCGTGCCAAATCGTCTAAAATTTTGGGATTCAAACATGGACCCCCTCAGATTTTGATGAAACTTGGTGGGTTGGTTTACATCAATGAGAAAAGCAATTCCTGAAAATTTCAGCTTCAAATCTTATGTGATTCATGAGATATGGCCATTTGAAATTTCTGATTTTTCCAAAAACAAAAACTTCAGTAGCAAAAACATGTTTTGTTCATACTTTGAAGCTCTGTATTTTAAAAAGGAAATTTCAGAAGTCCTTTAAGTTTTTTTTTATCATATACAATGCTGGGCTTACTTTATTAAAACTTTGACATTGAATTGTTTAATGTCACATTTTATCCATAATGGTTGCCTAAAAAACCGAAAAAATTGTTTGCAGATATAGAAAGTTGATTTTTAATGGGTCAATATACAAAACTAGCAATTTAAGAAGTAAAGACATATCTTTTTAGTTTCTATATATGGTAGGCTTCCTAATTTTTAGAAATTTGCTGATAAGATACAATTCAGTAAGAAATTATGGACCCCTAAAAATGGCTCCACTAGAACTTACAAAATTGTGCCTTCCCTTAAATCCACAGGTAACCTATGATCAACACTGATTTTCATGAAAAACCTTTTTTCTACTGATTTAATAGACTTTATTAAAGTGATTTCAGTAAAAAAAATAGTGGGTACTCATGGGGAAGTTACAAAGTCAGAACAATGAAGTTGGCACAAAATGCATTAAAAACGCAAAAAATAG